TCTTATTAGAAGAAAATCTATTTGTGTTTTTGACGACCCACTCTTGTAGGTGATCACATGTTCTTCTCTCTTCTTAAAGAAGGTGTTGCTAAGAAGAGATCATATGCCATTGCAAATCCAAGATAGCTTTCCCATCCTCGTTTCTCTCTCCCAAAAACCATGGCCACCATTGAAAACCTCCATAGTTGCCTGTCTCCCTGCCCACGTGTCCATTTAAATCTCCTCCTATAAATAACTTCTCCGTCTGAGCAATTCCTTACACCAAGTCTCCAAGATCTTCCCAAAATTTCTCCTTCGAACTCGTATCCAACCCTACTTGAGGTGCGTACGCACTAATCACATTGATAAGTTCTTGTCCTATTATTACAATCTTGATTGTCATGATTCTATCTCCTACCCTCTTGACATCTACAACATCTTGTACCAAGGTCTTGTCCACGATGATGCCAACACCGTTTCTCGTTCTATTTGTGCCCGAATACCAAAGTTTAAAACCCTGAGTTTTCTAGATCCTTTGCCTTACTACCAACCCACTTAGTTTCTTGTAGGCACATAATATTTTATCCTTCTCCTCACCATAACTTCCACTACTTCCATAGATTTTCCCGTTAAGGTTCCTATATTCCACGTTCCTAAACGCATTTTGCTCTCTTGAACTCTACCCTTCTGTCCTAGCTTCTTCACCCTCCCCCGTCTAATAGGATCAAAGTACTTCTTTTGTGTGTCCCGGGTAAAGTTGATAGGAGCATATGCTCCCAAACAACTTTGAGTGGAGTCGTTCGAAAAGAAGTTTCTATGGCCCCCTTGCTCATTTAACACTGCATCCGGGTGCCGATGGAGATGCAGCGACCCTTGCTCACTTATCACTGTGCTCAGGCCACACAGCGCGCCACTTACGGGTGACGCCCTAGCTTTAGCGCGATTTTGTTCTGGATTCATTTTCATAAGGATTCGACGTGATCATGGAGTGCCGGCTGTCGACTACCTGACGCCCTCCCCCTCCTCCTTTATCCGGGCTTGGGACCGGCCATGTAAGACATAGGCGGAGTTCTTGTATATATTGTTCATTGTAAAAAATAGCAAGCAAAGATATGCAGTGTCATATACCTACAATATCATAATTTGTACATATCTTGTATATATTGTTCACTGTAAAAAATAGCAAGGATATACTATACAGTGTCATATACCTACGATATCATAAGTTGTACATATCTTGTATATATTGTTCACTGTAAAAGATAGCAAGCAAAGATATGCAGTGTCATGTACCTACAATATAATAAGTTGTACATATCTTGTGTATATTGTTCACTTAAAATATAGAAAAGACGGGAAAAAATGGTTTTCAAAATGTGAAAAGTGGTGAAACGATTAGGGCTTAAAGCCATCGTTGGGCCTGCTGGGTGGTTGTGGGCGGCGGTTAATGTTGTGGACGCTGTTAAATTGTGGGTTTTGTTGGTCGGGAGGAGTGTCGGGCGTGTCGAGGGTGTCAACTTCTGCTGGTCCTTGATCATGATCTCCAACATATTGTTGCATCACCAACACCGACGCCGTGGCAGCAAAGTCTGAAGATGCTAACAAATCTCCAATGGCACCAAGTTCCGGGCACTCACTCCAGTCCGTCAGTCCCGCCGTCAAAGGCGATACCATCCCTTGCCCTCTCCCAACAATGAAGAGATCGTGAACGTTGTCCATGGACCTAATTGCCGCCACCGTCTCCTCTCCGTTATTCACCACCTTCTCTGTGTAAACAACCGACTCTTCGTTGGCATTTTTCATTCTAAAATCATTGATTAACTCCTCGTCGAGCTGCTTCTCCCACCCAATGTCCATCTCCACCGACAGTATCCTCGAATTATTCCCGATGCCGTCCACATTACTAGTGGAAGTAGAAGCAGCTCTCTCCAGTCCAGCTTCCTCCCCTGGAACAAACCGCATGACGGTGAGGTTTATCCCGGGATGCTCCGACATCCTCCACGCATAGGACAAGGCCTCTCTGTCGTCGGGTCCTCCAAAGAAGAGAATAACCACGTGATGCGAGATTTGATTTGCAGCAGCCAAGCGACTGGAGCCGTTGAGGCCTCTGTCCACAAGGATTCCAACGGAGCAAGGTGCATTTGTAAGCACGTTCTGGTTCATTGTCCTAAAAGCTGGGTTCATTGCCTCCATTCCCCCGTCCACAGTTTGCTGTTTGTGGAAAGGAATGATTAAGAAGGCGACGCGCTTGTCCTCGGCCAAGTTGCAGATGTCTTCGTGCATGGTGGAGTAGGGGGAAATGGCCGTGAGCGGCTGCACCGAAACGCAGTTGCCCGGCGCGTGCTGCTCGTAGTTTTCGAATGCGTTGATAATGTGATCCGACTGAGCTTGTGTCCTGTTGAGAGCAGGTCTCCCGGATTTCCTGGTGTTGTGGACAATGAGCATGGCGGAAGCGCGGCCGCTCAGCTCCACCAAGTGGAGAATGTAGACACAAAGCGGGGATCTTTTCGTCGGGTGGGAAGCTTCAAGGAGATTGATCATAGTCGGCACATTTCGAGGAGTGTGGACGCAAACAAGTATTCGTAACTCTGCATCCGGCTTCGACCTCTGAATGCTTCTTCGTTTGTAAGGTATAAACCTTCTGGCTGGCTTGTAGACGGTGGTCACGATTGGCGTAATGATTCCAGTCATGACAACCGCCACAATTACCATGATGGCAAACGCCTCGTCGTCTAAAACTTTTTGGTCTTTGCCGACATTCAAAACAATGAGCTCGACGAGGCCTTTGCAGTTCATGAGGAGCCCTAGAGTAAACCCTTCGTCGAACGGCATCTGGTAAAACAAGCAGACGATGACGGTGCCGGCTATTTTGCCGATGCAGGCCAGGAATATGACGAGCAGCAGAATCCCCCACGTGCCGGGGCCAGTAATGCTGGTTATATTGGTTCTGAGACCGCTGATTGCGAAGAAAAGAGGAAGCAGAAGCCCCGAGACAAAATCCTCAAGCTTCTCAATCAGGGTAGCTCCAAGAGGCCCATTGGGAATCACCAGCCCAAACACAAATGCACCGAAGACGGAGTGAGTCCCGATAGCATCCGTGACGAAGCCGGAGATCATGACGCCGGTGAGGATGAGGCAGATGTAGAACTCACTGAAGGTCTCTCCTTCGGGGGTTCTTCGAATGAGCCAACAAATGGCAGGGCGGACGATGAAGATACAAACTAGAACAAAGGCGCCGCTGGAGAGGACGACGTAGAGGGAAGCCAAGGAAGTGGAGTCATTTTCGGCCAGGGCAATGGCAATAGCCAAGAGAGCCCAAGCGCACATGTCGTTGACGAGAGCGGAGGAGAGGGCAATCCTGCCAAGCTCGGTGTTGATGAGTTTGAGCTCAGCCAGGACACGGGCCAGGACAGGAAAAGCGGTGACGGAGAGGGCGACGCCAAGGAAGAGGATGAAAGTGCCTTGGTTCATGGATTGTTCTCGCTTGTGGAGAAGGAAGGAGAAGGCGGCGCCGATGAGAAAGGGGAGGATCATACCGGAAATGGCAATGACAACAGCCCTTTTCCCCATTCGACGAATCACTGAAATGTCCATTTCCAATCCGACGAGGAAGAGAAAGTAGAGGAGACCCACGTTTGCCATTGTCTCCAACACCATCACACTTCTTAGAGGGAAGATTGTGTTGGCGAATTTATCACTCTTTCCAAGCACCGATGGCCCTAATAATACTCCACCCTGCAATTACAACAATTAAATTGTTGATTGATTAGTTAAAACCATGCATGCATGCATGCAGATTCAAACGATTATGTTTATATTCTAGATAAAAAGGACATTTATCTAGCTGGATGTTAATTTATATATAAATTTCCTCGTACGTCCGTACGCACGTACATACATACCAGGATTTCTGAGATAACACGAGGTTGGCGAAAGGGTTTGAGAATGAGAACGAGAATTCGAGTGGTGACGACGACCATTGTTAATTGCAAGATGAAGAGCGGGAGGGAGTAATCTAAAGGATTGTCGCCCTGCCATATACCGTTGGTAGTGATCATGGTTGGAGCGTAACATACTATTGAACCATCTGATGAATTATTCGTCGCACCAGTTGCTGCAGCCACTGCCGCCGCCATTTTTTAATCTCCTACCAGTTTTCCTCCTATATATTTACCACAACCACCGATGCAACCACAACCGCGAAAACAATCTGAGGTACCAAGCTAGCTTCTCCAATTCCTCCTACTCTTTTCTTCAATTTGTGTCATGAAATTTTATCACTATTTCCATCGTTTCTATTCCTTGGTTACAAGATAGGACATGTGAGATTACAGAAATTACGAAAAATTGTTGTAGGAAAATGATGATGGAATGGGACGGGAGGAGGTAAATCCAGGAAATTTTTTGATGGTTGACCGCCCCATTTGGGTTATTTCGTGTCTGTGGCCTGTGGTTTGCTGTTTGGTAGCTTGACTATTTTAAGAATTGCATAAATCATTATCCAAACGACACGATCATGTGTTTGGAGACACTACAAGAAAATGTGCTATAGGGCACCATTTTAAGAGCACTATTCTTCATCAGTGGCTTTGTAAATTGGACTATCATCATTGTCAAAATTTGGTGTCTTTAACTTGCCTAACACCGATTATGGTGGGTTTAACCTTTGTAAACACCACTCATTAGCGTCAAACTACAAAAAATTTTACACCAAAGACTTTTTACATGTTTTTTCAACTTTGGGGCCTATTTTTTTTATTTCTTTTTCAGTCTTCGTACTGGTTTGGTACTGAGGTGCTTTTATAAAAAATGGGTATCAAAAAAAGTTGAGCTCAAAAATGTGTTTAGTAAACACTTTAAAACAGCTTATTTTCACAATTTTGGATGAAAAAAGCTGAAAACATGAAACAGCAAAAATGAACTTATTCTCACAGAACATTAGAAACAATTTTTTTTCAAAGCACAACACTATAAAACCAACCATTTTCTCCTTTTTTTTTCGGTCAAATATTTTTTTTTCATTTAATAATCCTATTCTACAGTACTTTCACCCCCATATAAATACAAAGTTAGACAAGCCTAATTTTCAACCCAGCCCCGCTCTCTCTCTCTCTCTCCCTCCCTCTCTCTCCCCTCCCTGAGCTCAACTCCTCGCCCCCTCCCTAACCCTTTCGATGGGATCGACGGCTCAGTGTGGGGTTCGGTGAGGGGAAGGCATGCGGCTTACAAAGAAGAGGAGAGATAGAGGGTGAGGAGAGAGAGAGAGAGAGAGAGAGAGAGAGAGAGAGAGAGAGAGGGATTCGGTGAAGGGAAGGCATGCGGCTTGCAAAGAGGATGGAGGGAGGGAGGAGAAGACGAAAGGCAACTGCAGCAAGTTCATGGATAGGGTGCCACCAATGAAGACCCCTCGACAGTAGATTCAAGTCAATCTGGGCAATCTATCGCTTCTTAAAAAAAAAAAAAAAAAAAAAAAAAAAAAAAAAAAAAGTCAATGTGTGTTAAGTCATGACCTTCAACCCTCATCAAAGCTCAACTTTTAGCCCCTTCTCCAGGTTATTTTTTATTTATATTATTCAATTTATCTCTATTTTTTGTGGTTGAATTCGGCTTCTGGGATTGTGAAATTCTTCGATTTGAAGTTTGAATTCTTCAATTTTGATTTATGGCGGAAGTTTTTATTTTTTATTATTAAAAGAATCAAAATTAAAGCATCATGCTTTCTGGCTTAAAAGTAATTTTCGTTATAGTTGCATAATGGAGGTCAAATATATGATTTTTGGGTGAGAGAAGTCAAAAATCCAGAAAATGACGTTTGAACTGAAAAAATTAGACTGCTTTGAGATTGGTAGCTGTTATTGGCACTTCAAAAATGGGCTTACATTACTCCTCGATTTCGCAATTTCTTAGGCGATTCTTTGTATAATTTTCGAGTTGAAAGATTAGGTTTTTTTTTCATAAGAAGTTCAAATTAGACTCTATTGGGTCTGAGACTTGGAAACTCAATATGTTGTGATATTAGATTAACATAGTTAAACTATATTTTCTTTTGGTGGGCATGTTCGAATTTCTGTATTTGCGTTGTAGGGATGTCTAATTTGGTGAAGTGTTCAAAATCCTTCTGCTAACTGATTTAATAGGTTGAATCTGTATCCAAGGTTTTCTTCCAATATGGTCTGAACTATTTTGTTTAATTAACAAAAACAGGTTTCTTCTCTCTATGGTAGTCTGTTAGAGTTTATGTTTATCGTGGAAAGCACAGAAGACCCTGCTTATCGGGCTGTATCTATGCTACTATCAGAGCTTAAGGTATACGCAACAATAATCATGGTTTCTTTAATATAAGAAGAACATCCAGGACAAGTCATATATAATATATGCTTGGAAGCACATATTGATTTGTTTTAAGTTTAACTTCATTTCCTTGCAGGACGAGGTTGATGCTAAGATTGTTGTGGCTGGTATTTCAACAACCTGCAGTAAGAAAATTCACAACCGATTGGTATGTACCTGATTAAAATAATTTACGCTTTGCTACCATGCTGGTGCAATAGCAAGGTCTTGCACAGTTGAAGTGTTATCTTATCAAATCATTATGTACCTATAATTGTTCTATATGACGAGTTTCTTTTCTTTGTGGAATACAGGAATATAAATTATTGTTTAGTCTTAATGGTGTAGGGTATATGTAAATGAATTCAAGTAGAGCTCACTTTTTTGCTTTCCGTTTTGTAGCTGCCTTGATCATTAGTTGGTGATATTTGGGAGATTGAGAGTAGGATAGGATAATTTTATTGTATAATTGAATACTTTTGTATAACCACTGTGCTTATACATTTTATGTAACCATTGTACTTGTACATTATACATCATCAGAGACCCTATTTTTTTGGGATCAACATGGTATATAAAAAAGGATTTGTCATCATCAATGGGAATGGGATTATAATTTGGGTGCCCAGACTACTGGGCCCCCCTTTAAAAAAAAACATATTACAACATAGACACCAATGTATAAAAATTATATAATATTTCAAAGGTGTAACTACTCATTGTGCCACCGTTATCTAATTGGTGGTGATTGTAACATTAGAAACTTCTATATAGGACATGTACTTCTCTTTAGTGGCTGTTTGGTGGCAATTGGGGTTTGCCATCAATGTTAGTGCCCATTCTTTATAATAGACACCAATAAAAAGGATGTCCTTTAGCCAAAATTCTAGTAGTGGGAACCTTCGTACCTCGTATCACTTTGCTGCCATCGGAGCCATGTCGATAATCAAAATTCGGTATACACATGTATAAATGAGATTATATTCTTGCTGATAAAATAAAAATAAAAGACATTACATTGCAAACGCTCCCTCCATGTGCATTTCCCTCTTACCCATTTTTTCACGTCGTACACTCTTTTTGTATTATTAGCGGTTAGATTGAACAACTAAAAGAAAATAGGGAGACTTTGATGCGGTCTCTAGGTATCAATATTATTTGATTGAAATCTTATTAGTTTTCAATTTTTGATCAAAATTCTTGACATTAATCTAATGGTGTGTTTCTATGCAGGTTATTACATTTTTAAATTAAAAATTGGAATTTGTAGTTGTTTATATTAATAAGATTTTAAATAAAATCCGTAATTAGTGGATTAAAAATATCAAAGATAAATTATACTCTCCAATATATTTTGTATGCACACACACACACACACACCACACACACACACACACACACATATATATATATATATATACATGGGTACATTCATTAAAATTAACCAAAAAATTGTTGAACCAAAACATGGATACATTTTTCAAAACCACACAAAAAAGAAGAAGATATTAGGCTTAGTAGCATTATTAAATTTATTCCGTCAAACTTCACATGGATACATTCTCAAATCAATGAAATATAATGTACCCATATAAGTTTAAAAATGAATTAGAAAAAAAAAATGAATGAATTTTATTAAAAAAGGGGTACATTTTATATTAGAAAATGGTACATTTAAGAATAAAAAATTGAAAATCATTTTTATAAAAAAACAATTAATGGGTACAAACTTATTCTAATTTTATTTATTTATTTTGAAAATGTTTTGAATTGAAAATTAATTAGGAGTTTAATAAGTGTGTGAGTATTAAAACCTAATCAATTACTATTTTTTTTTAAATTTATGTAACTGGCATGTAAATTCATCACTGCTAGGGATTTTGATCATAATAAAGTCTCAGTCAATAAACATTAGTAAGTAGGGGCCGTATACTAATTTTTCCAAGAAAATAAATAGTTAAAATTAAGAGGTGGTGTGTAGAAGGTGAAAAATGATATGTTAAAATCACTTCCAATAAAAATTTTATATATGCAAAATATTTTCAATATTCCACAATTACCCTTGTATTTGAAACACTTCTTAAGCACCAAACAACCCCAATCTTGTTATATCTTTTGGAAAATCATAAACACATACTCCTTTTTACTTCTTTGTGACATCCCATCCCAAGATTTATTATATTTTATTCTCAGTAGTAATGAAATTATCAAAATACCCCTGAGATGCCATGTAGGCCTTTCACGTAGGCCTCAATTTTCCTTTCACTTTTCCAATCTTATTTTACTATTTTCAAAAAATACTCATTTTTATGAACACACCTTTGACGGAACTCAATTCGAAGTTATAACAAAAATTTATGTTTGAAACCGTGTAAAAATACCTATGGCAAATTTAAATTCTAAAAACTGACCCCCTGCAGTGTACATCACTGCTTGATCCGACCTTGGGAAAACAAAAATCAGCCTTAAAAAAAAAAGGCTTAATGATGAGGGATGGCCATGCAAGTTATATTAAACAAATAATTATTTTGGATTTTAGAAACCTACACTTGTTTCATCACACACATCACTTCATCATTTTTCTTTCTTTTTGGCCGGTTCCCTTACATGTCTCTAGCTCTCTCATGCCTCACTTTCTCTCCTTTTTCCCCATTTTCAGCCGGCCTCTCTCTCTCTCTCTCTCTCTCTCTCTTACACACACACACACACGCCATATCCCATCACTTTCCCTCACATCTCTCTAGCTCTCTCATGCCTCACTTTGTCTCCTTTTCCCCCATTTTCAGCCGGCCTCTCTCTCTCTCTCTCTCTCTCTCTCTCTCTCTCTTATACACACACACATGCCATATCCCATCACTTTTCCCTCACGTCTCTCTTTACCTTTCAGGTCACTTTCTATAAGCTTCTACTACCTTATATGCTAAAGGAGAAATTTTTAGTTGTGACGGGAACACAAGTAGTACACCACGTATTTTAATAGGAGTGGTGGGAAATTTTATATTTTAAGTTATTAACTTTTTAGCACACATATCCCATCATTTGTATAGTGACACGTGGTGTTCCACCCCGTGTACTGATCACATTGAAAAATCTCTCATGCTAAAGGACGCCATGGGCCACATTAGGCAACATGTCTAGTTGAGGTTGGACATGTCAGTTGGACCATGACAACATGTTCAATATTCCTTTAATTAGGATTTAGTAAATTGTCAAGATTACAAAGCCAACTCACTCTCTTTTTTCACTTTTTCACTCATTCAGTCTCTCGTTCTCTCTACCCACTCAACTTTTCCTCACATTTCAAACTCTCTCCCGTAGCTTCCTCTGCAACTCATCTTCTTCCTCTCGGCTCAACCCAGGCAGCTACCATACCGCCTCCAAACACAACCCAAACTCAATGAAAAATCACCTAAGCTTCTAGAACTCGACCTTATACTCGAGAAAACAAGAAATCTAGAGAAAATGAAGAAATTCTAAGATCTTAAAATGAAACCCGGCTAACCGAAGTCCTCCATCTCAGTAAGGTGAACCTCCCTCCTCTAAAACTTAATTTCTGGACTTTTCTAGTGCGTTTTACAAGCTTGCATGCAAGTTTATGTGCGTTTTGAAGTGTGTTTAACTAACCACCATCTTTTCGACGAGTTTCGTAGGTCCTTGAGTGGAACCTGGCCAAATCACGTTGATTTGGTCGAGTTTGAAATTACAGAATTCCTTACTGAGGTCTAGAGTACTAGGTTCAAGTATTGCATGCTCGAATCTGCTAAGTTAGGGTGAAACTCAAGCTTGGCTGAGAGCCCTAGGCCATTTTCTGATCACCTCCGCCCAACTTTTGGTTCCCATAGAGTTATAGAAACGTTCTCCTGGTTCTAAGCTTCATTTTGATACATCTTGTGCGAAAAATGGTTAAGAAATGACCTTCACACAGATTTTCTGACTACACTCCCTATACTAGGTATATGTGAGAAGATTGATGTAAACATGTAGACTAGCCACTCACATACGTTTATAATCAAAGAAGGCACTTTCTGGAATTATTAATACAACATGTATATATATGATCTTATGAACGGAATGCCACTACTTAGAAGCGAGAACCAGGGATTCCATATTGATAGGATTAAATGCACACCACAAAGTAGCACACAAATGTCCTATTGATTTTCCTTATTAACACTAAGATTTGTCAATTGTAGCATATGAAAATTAGGGTCTTTCCCGTAGAAGATTGTTTTATCTAACTACTTAAAATGTCACAAAAACTGGTTGCTGTCCCTACTGACCAGCCATCAAAAAATAATTATTAGACTGACTTACACTTATCTAAAGTCTACGAAATTTTATATGAACACACTAGACACACAGAGCTACATCACACAGATTTTTAGGATTTTTGGAGTTGATTTGCTATTTAAATTAAATCGAACAAAAAAATGACAGAAACAAATTTTAAGTAGTTCACAAATTAAGAAAAACGAGTTAGGGGAATTGCTATCCACCACCAAATAATCATGCAAACATGTTATGTTTCATTCAAATTCCTTTTATTTCCGGATGAAGATGCTCAAGTTGGCTCAATGTTAGAACTCAACCTATTACTCTTTCTTATGTAGTATGTTAAGAGAATGACGCTTTCAACTTAACTTAGTTCCTAGCATGCAATCTAGAATGGCGTGTTCATAGATTTAAGAAGTAGAAATCATTAAGAACGAAAAGAGTTTGATTCATCACAAGGCATCGTAACTACTGGTGTTGTCTTAGTTATCCTAGAAATTAGTTCACATGTTAATCGCAATTAACAAGTACTACCATAGAACATATGTAGGTCCTCATTCCACAAGGGCAGGCACACACATATTCATAGCGTTAGAATCCTAGATATGCTTACTACGTATGCATCCATAGAAAACAAATAAAGAATTCATCAATGAGACAAGTGGTGAACCAATTTTCATCCATTCATAAAAATAATTCAAACGAAATGTCATAACAAACTTGCAATCATATTCGGGGCTTCAAAACAGCCCCTAACTACAAACAATTTAGTTACACACAATCCTTAAGTTAAAACAAAAGATAGACATGAGTTTGAGAAGATAAAACCGAAATAAATCGACCGAGGCCTCCTCCTCTAATTCATTCCTTCCCCAACGCTGCTTTTAAACCAATTCTTGCTGCATCATTTTCTTCTCCTTAACTCACCCACTAAAGCAATTTAATGATGACAATAAGTGTGAGGAAATGGTAAAACAATTGTAACTCTTTGGGTAGCCCTTATGCCAATTACTCCCTCTTAATCCTCATCTTTAATTCCATTCCCTTTTATATTTGAATAAGTGTCAGCTGACTTTTTCTTGGCTGCATCAGTTTTGGCTGCTAGATTTATTGGGTTTATTGCTTCCATTGTAGTTACAAATTGCTCAGCCTCTTGGTAACCTTTCAGTGTTAAAACGACCATAACTTTTTCTAAACAAATGATATTAACAATCTGTGAAATGTTCCAGAAAAATAGACATCCGTAGCTTTCCAAGAATATAAGGCTCATTCTCTAATTCATTCTGAG